ATTTAAATACAGTTAGAGATTTCTACATTATAATACATGAATTATAATAATTATAATTTATCGTGGATAGTTCCCAGTACTGCTCCCACACCCTCCCTGACCTACCCGTTGTTGTTCTGTTACTTCCGTTGCAACACGTGCAATATTACAGAATAGCCAACGATAAAAGTTGTTTTGCAACGGATACGAAAGTCCAGTCTATTTTGTGTGTTTGTTTGTTATGAAGCAAGTTTAAATGTATAGCGGTAAGTCCAAGGACTTACCAAAATTCGGAGTCATAGCGCAGACAGCTCATTGCGTGATTGATAAAGGGTTAGCTTCAGAACTTACATCCTACCAGGACAAATACGGATATATATATATCTGATTCTCATTAGATTATCTTTTGGTGTAAAACAACAACAACAACAAATTATATTAAATAATGTACGTGGCTCACGTTATCTTGTTGATAAACAACCAATTGTTATTTTCTGAGGTCACGTGATCAAAGATGAAGAACGACATGAAACTAGGAACACTTCCACTTACTTTCATCATGAATAGTTTCACAGTGAAACTAGGAACACTCCCATTACTTTCATCATGAATAGTTTCAGGGAGTGTTCCTAGTTTCACTGCTTGTAATGTTTAACTTCAAGGTTGGATCTCTAAGTTGTGCAGTTAAAGAAGAATGAAACCGACTTTGTATGAGTTCCAAAAAAGAAAATTAATTAATGAATGACAAAAATATTTGCTTCTTTGCTGTATTTCGAAAACACACGACTACTAAATAGAAACTCAAGTGATTGATGCACATCAAACAAATACGGTTTTTGGTGCTATCGCTCTCAAAAATCTTCCTGCGAACAAAAACATTTTTTTTTAATTTATCCTAGTCTGAAAATTGTTTTATGAAGCCCTAAGTTTGAACTGATAGACTAGAGGAAAGGCAGCTAGTAAACAGAACCCTCCGCCATACCAGGTACCAGTCCACCCTTGACCTTTTCTGAAAGGAGTGGGGGTGGGTGACTGTGAAACTATTCATGATGAAAGTAAGTGGGAGTGTTCCTAGTTTTACTGTGAAACTATTCATGATGAAAGTAAGTGGGAGTGTTCCTAGTTTCACTGTGAAACTATCCATGATGAAAGTAAGTGGGAGTGTTCCTAGTTTCACTGTGAAACTATTCATGATGAAAGTAAGTAACCCCGCATTTTATCGTAGTGAGTCCATAAACTTACTGCTGACCCACCAGGGAAGACTTCGTGTTTGCCGCCTGTTATTTCTTCTGATTATCGATTGATTAAAACAGTGACTATTTTAACCAGGTCACTAAAAGTTATATTCCTTACTATCGTGTTCACTAGTCTGTCTGTTTGTAAAAGAAAAGCAGAGTTTTAAAAATGTGCCAAGTAGTTTTTATCTATTTCTCGAATTTTGCCCAAAGCTACACGAGGGATATTTGCACTAACCTTCCCCGATCTTAAAATAATAGACTGGGGGGGAGGTAAAGCAACTAGCCAACACAATCCACCGCCAACTCTCGTCTGACGAACCTCCGATCCACAGCCCAGAACTTTAACCCATCAACCTCTCCAAATAATTGTTTATAGATTTTGAATGCCCACTCCCCGGGTAGAAATTCAGTTTAAAAAAAAACTTGTGTAGAAGAGTAATTTACATTGAGGTGCCGTTATCTTCAAGATTAAATTTATGTCAAATATTTCACTACAGACCACTTAACTCCCTCGAAAGGACCCTCCCCTTTTTTTAACACCAATTTTAACACTAATTTGAAAAAAAAGTGACATGTTAATTTTAGTAGTAAGACAAGGAATCTTTCATAAACTCGAGTTATTTACAGATTCAAATTTTACAGATTCAAATTAACATATTCAAATAAATTGTTATTACCGTTTTAGCGCAGAGCTATATGCGCTATGACCACCTAATGGAATCGCTCGAACAACAACTACCATTTCGAGTTTTTTTTTTCTTATTTGAGTGCCACCTGGAATAATTATATTACTGTACAATCTCGGGGTAAGGTCTCTGTAGTGGCAGAGCTGAAGACGGATCATCCTTTACATGAAACAGAATCACAGACTGTTGAAGGCGTTCTGTAATAAAGAAGACGAGGACAAAGTGTCTTATCTTCTTCATATAAAAGTGTCTTATTTTGTTCATGTAAAAGTGCCTTATCATCTTCATGTAAAAGTGTCTTATGTTCTTCACGTAAAAGTGTCTTATGTTCCTCACGTAAAAGTGTCTTATGTTCTTCATGTAAAAGTGCCTTATTTTGTTCATGTAAAAGTATCTTATCTTCTTCATGTAAAAGTGTCTTATCTTGTTCGTGTAAAAGTGCCTTATCTTCATGTAAAAGTGTCTTATCTTGTTCGTGTAAAAGTGTCTTATCTTGTTCGTGTAAAAGTGCCTTATCTTCATGTAAAAGTGTCTTATCTTGTTCGTGTAAAAGTGTCTTATCTTCATGTAAAAGTGCCTTATTTTGTTCATGTAAAAGTATCTTATCTTCTTCATGTAAAAGTGTCTTATCTTGTTCGTGTAAAAGTGCCTTATCTTCATGTAAAAGTGTCTTATCTTGTTCGTGTAAAAGTGCCTTATCTTCATGTAAAAGTGTCTTATCTTGTTCGTGTAAAAGTGTCTTATCTTCATGTTAAAGTGTCTAGTTTTCTTCATTTCTTATCTTATTCGTGTAAAAGTGTCTTATCATATTCATGTAAACTTTTCAGCGTATGAATTGACCAGCTTTAATGTACAGTGAATTTATGAAGTATAAGAGAAAACTATTGAACTTAAATCGCTGTATTCAGTTTTAGGTTTTAAGTCATACAACATTTAAGTGATTCTGTAAAAAAATCACACACACACACACATATATATATCACAAGTATGGAAGAAAACTATTTCCATTAAGAAACTACTAAGCTGTATTTAGTTTTAGGTTTTAAATTATATAACATTTCAACGAGTCTATAAAAAATACACAGAAACACATATCTATATTAGTTTAAGCTATATAATATTTTTATGGTTTTATAATATATACATACCCGTAGTAGTTGTGATGAGATGATACATTCTTGGAATTAAACTTCCTGAGAATAAACGTACTCTGGTGACTAGGACTGACCTATGATAACGATACGTCTTCTTTCCTTAAAGATCACGCTGGAACTGTAAACAAAACATCAATATCTAAAGTAATGAGATTAAATTTACAAAGAAAATTAAAAGAAGAAAAAACTCGTGTATAAACAGGAATTTTAGAAGAGTTCTAAACGTACTTGATATTTTTATTCCATCTTATTTACACAAGCTTATCGTGATTTTACTCGAACTTGTACTCAGAGGAGGAGGAATGGAAATGGTTAAGTGACACGAATTGGAAGAAGAAGAAGAAGCGCACAAACACGCGGAAGATGTGTGTGTGTGTGAGAGAGAGGAAGAGAAAGAAGAAAATAATGACCACCCAGATAATGAAGCATAAAAAAGTAAGTCTGAATATCGTATATGTAACTTTGTAGATGATAAGAGCAACTAGAACTGTCTGACACTTAATCACAGGTGAGTTAAGTAAGGGCTGT